AGCTGTGGGCTTGTAATGAGCAGAGCACCAGGCTCAGAGAGAGGATTACTTATCTGCAAACGAGCTCTGAAAGAGAAGCAAGAGTTGGCAGCATGAGGGAGAGAAGGGCTGATCAATGCAGGGCAACGGCTTCCCGCTCCATGCACGGGGGTCCCAGCTGCTTCACAGAGCCCAGGAGGAGGAAGCAGCAGCATGTTAAAGCACAAGCGAGTCTCATTAACAAACACTTGGCTCCCCTTCCACAGTGTGTGTGTGTGTTTTCCAGGCCTTGGAGTAAACTCTCCTCCATTCTCTCTTATTTCCTCAGACATATGTCTTTACTGATGAAGAGGATGAAGCACTGCAGAAGAGAATGGGTAACCAGCCTTTCCCACATCATGGTCCCCGCTACTGCTGACTGTCTCTGAATCAGGCTCTGAATTGGGGGCTCTTCCCCTCTCACTCCTTATGACAGGCCACTTCTCTGGATCTTGGGGTGGGGAGAGTGGGAATGGGGTTTCCCATTTGAAAGGAGGGAAAGCATCTGCCCTAAACACCTGCAAGGAGAATCTGAGGGTCCAGGTGGTCTTAAGGAACAGTCGTATAGTGACAGAGGGGCTGGGTCCCTATTTCTTCCATCCTTGCCAGTGGTGGAAAGCTTGGCTAAAGCACTGGATGGACATTCAGAAAACTGGGTTCAATTCCAGGTTCTGCCACAGACATCCAGTGTGACCTTTGGCGAGTTACTTAACTGTTCTATGCCTCAGCTCCCTGTGGGGAGGGGATAGCATTTCCTTGTACTACAGGGACATTGAGCTAAAGTCATTAGTGTTTGTGAGGGACAAGGTCTTACACTGATGGGGATAAGCCCAGGCCTAGGTAGACTGTTGCTGCCAAGCAAATGAATAGTCACCGTCAGTGTCCCCTTCCTCCCGGTGATCTGCTTATGAGAAGAAATCCTAGACTCAAAGATAAAAAAACCATGGCAAATAGTTTCCCTTTCCAGATTCTCAGGACAGTAGGGGAGTGGGTGGGTGTCCTGTCTGGCAAGCGGCTTGTGGGTCACGAAGCAAAGAACTGAATTAATAGGAAGGCAGAGCACAGAGCCCCAGAGACTGAGAGTGCACAAGTGGGTGGGAGCAGGGTTGCTGTCCTTACCAGGGGGAGCAGTGTATAAATGTGAGAAGGGCAGCACTGAATTAATTCAGAGGCCAGTTTCTGTGCTGGCTCCTCTGAGGTGTTTCTTTTACAGAAGGGCCCAGGCAGGGGGTGATTTGGGTGGGACAGGCATGCATTATAACTCGAGCTTTGTCTCCTTTTCCCTCCCCAGGTGACCATGCAGTATTCACCAACTGCTCTGCAGAGCATAGCCACCCAGCACTATCCTGCAAGATGGCTGCTGAGTTTGATGCATTCTTGGCCAGTGGCCAGAGGTGAGTTCAGGAGTTGTTTTTATGCCTGCATGTTGGGGTAGGGGAAAGGCCCTTCTACCTCGTGGTGATAGTGACTGGGATCATCGTTGCTGGCTGAGGGCTGCTTGTCCAGTGCTCAGAGAGGGAGGCTCTGTGGGGGGTTCTTTGGGAAAGGATGAAGTAGGAGCTAATTCATGGAAGAGTTGAGCAGCCACAGCCCCTACTAAAGTTGATCAGTGTGCAGGAGCTCCCCACCTGTGTGTAAAAGGCCCTTGAGATTGAGACTGCAGCATCATCCTGACTTAACCTCTTGTCTCCCTTCCTTTCCATCCAGCATCTACCATGAGCGAGACCAGGGCTAAAGCAGGCTCTTAGCCAGGGGCCTCCTGCTCCTCCCCAAACCCCTTTGGGACTCAGTCCTCCTCCGATCCCCACGGTGCTGACATGCATCCCCTCGGGGCAGGCGCAGGGAGGAGCAGGGCAGTGTCTGTGGAGGAAGGGGACCCAGCTGGGGCTT